ATCAGCAAAAACTAACTCCCAAATGACCATGTAATTTAATTCGCTATCAAGAGGGTTCTGCATCAGTCACCCCATCTTTTTTCTTAGGAATAGTGATAAATGAGTAGGCCTACATTGCCATAACATCAGCCACCTGGATCTTCACCAGTGTTTAAAAGATGACCGGCAATCATTGTTCATATTAAGAGAGCTCCTTTATCAGCCCTGTCCAAACTGGGGTTGCTGGGTACTGACAACTGATATAAAAGCTTTAGCAGATGTGACTCAACACTCCCCTGAGCCCTGCTGGAGTGGAAAGGATTTATTACACAATTAGCATATTAATACTTTCCTGCTTTTTCCTAACTATAGAATATAGTATTGGCCATTTCTGCCTTTTTTTTTTTTTTAGTTGATTTCCATAATTTCTGCCTATTCACTTTGGTATGATCTCTTTTCTTCCTCCTGTGTTTCAAAAATGCATTGCTGTTGTCTGCAAGACTGTAGACCATATACTGGTCTCTTGGTCCATTTGCTTTCTTATCACTTTACTGCAATAGGCTGCCTTCTAATTTGTATTCATTATTACCAATTTCTCCTTTCTCCCATTTGTTATATAATTTTTATACATCTGCCACTTTCTGTCTAAGCCAAACTGATTTTCCAAGCCAAATAACTCTCTTTTTCTGTAGTGGGCTTTTTCAGTGCTCTTAAACAGTATACAGTCTACCTGCTTAAATTCTTCCTTGCAGAGATTTGATTCAGAATTGGTTAGAGCTTATGAAATTAGCCCTGTGGAAGTACTGTCTATATTTAAAGTGTTTGATATCACTTTGGAATGCAATCCACTAGCAAAAATGTTCCAAAATACTTTTAACCCCAGCGGAGAGATAAGTTATATGGAATGAAAAATTAAGAGCCTTTTCCAATTTTGAATTCATGAGCCCACAGCTAGAACATTGTATATAGTTCAGAGTACATCCATACCAGACATCTGACACCTGAAAAGACTTGGGGGAGAAAAAAACTATCAATCAGGGCTGAGAGCATTTTTGAAGAGTGCTTTAAATAACAAAATGCTTTTAACTGACAAGTGGAAAAGGAGAGGAATCAAATAAGTGCCTATATGTATTTCTAGGGACATACATTGTTAATAGGGTTTAAGTAGAAGATGTGGAAGAAGGAAGACAGAGAAAAAAAAATACTGAGATATATTGGATGGGGGGGCAGGGAGTTGCTTGGTTCATTTAGACAGAACCAAGACTTTATATGCCACTTATATATGGAACAGTTTTTCTTGGGCATAGAGGATGATGAGCAAATAGATATTCCATCTCTTATCTTGGTCTGTCGCTTTTTTTTAATTCCTATTTTACCCTTTAAAAGCATTGGTTATTCAGGCAGCTAAGCTAATCAAGGTGGCTTGAACCCTCAGCACTGCTTGTCTGGATCGTGAGGGGTTTTTTGTGAGATTCATGTACTATATCGAGAGTAGGGAGCATAGATAGTCTCCCATAGGGTACGTTTTCCCGGATTGGACATTGCTCATTTAATTCTATGACAGACCCTTACAAGATCTCGCCCTTCAGTGCACTCTGCACCAGGTGTGCTTTGTACCCACAAATGCATATTCTTGGAGATTTCCAATAGACAGGCCAACTAGTCGTCGTTTCTAATTAATTAGTTACTAATCTGTAAGCTGATCTTAACAGCAAGCTCATACATTAATAACTATCTTGGTATCGACGCTAGCAAGCTTACAGTTACATCAGATTTAAAAGCTGTTTACAGATACTGGAATTAATAGAATCAGTAATAATAATTCATTGCATTTTGAAGTACCAATGATGTCATTTTTATGTAATAAAGGAGCCTATTCTATTCATTTTAAGAGTTTGTATAGCCCTCAAGGACAGGCACATCAACATTTGACAACTGGGGATTGACCATATTTTGTGCGCGCAGTCCATGGTATGCTCACAAGCACAAACGAGAACAAAGCAGAAGACACCAGCCAGGGAGGAGGCGGCTGCCAGGCTGGGCAGCAGCTGTATTTGTAACGTAGCAGTGAAAGGAAAGAGCCATCCTTTCCACAGCTTTAAACTTGGACTACCTCCAGCAGCCCATAGCAGCAGGCAGATCTCGGCACCTCTCTTGCTTGTTGTACAGAAAGCTAGGGTCAAAAATCCTCCTTGAACAGAGAGGCAAACTGTGTGAGAACACCAGACCCTGCTGCCAATGTTTTCCAGCAGTGCAGCCCCAGACCAGTTGAAAGACTGACACTTTGCTATCGTTCTCACATGTATTCCCCAACCTGGAAGCTTCCTCATGTATTCCCACCCTTGGCTGGCTTCTCACGACTTATTTACTGTAGTAACATCTGCCACAGAGCAAACTCAGACAAGGCTGCCCCCAGCTCCATATCTGTTGTGGTTTAACCTCAGTTGGCAACTGAGCACCACGCATCCGCTCGCTCACTCCCCTCCCCCAGTGGGATGGGGGAGAGAATCAGAAGAGTAGAAGTGAGAAAACTTGTGGGTTGAGATAAAAACAGTTTAATAGGTAAAGCAAAAGCCGCACACGCAAGCAAAGCAAAACAAGGAATTCATTCACTACTTCCCATCAGCAGGCAGGTGTTCAGCCATCTCCAGGAAAGCAGGGCTCCGTCACGCGTAACGGTTACTTGGGAAGACAAACACCATCACTCCAAACATCCCCCCCTTCCTTCTTCTTCCCCCAGCTTTATATACTGAGCATGATGTCACATGGTATGGAATGTCCCTTTGGCCAGCTGGGGTCAGCTGTCCTGGCTGTGCCCCGTCCCAGCTTCTTGTGCCCCTCCAGCCTTCTCAGTCGGTAGAGCATGGGAAGCTGAAAAGTCCTTGACTAGTGTAAGCACTGCTCAGCAACAACTAAAACATGGGTGTGTTATCAACATTGTTCTCACCCTAAATCCAAAACACAGCACTGTACCAGCTACGAGGAAGGAAATTAACTCTATCCCTGCTGAAACCAGGACAATATCCCTGACCAGTCCTTCCTTATCTGTCAGTATCAAGTCCATAGAGCACCTCACCTTGTCAACTCTTCCATCACCTGTGTGAGTGAGCTATCATCACTGCACTCCAGAAACCTCCTGGATTGCTTGTACCCTGCTGTGTTGCCCTTCCAGCAGGTGCTTAAAGTTCCCCCTGAGGACCAGGGCCGCCTTCTGGTTACCTGAAGGTCTCCTCTACTTCTTCCTGATTAGGTAGCTTATAGTGGACAGCCACCATAGCATCACCCATGTTGTTCTGCCCTCTAATCCTAGCCCATAAAGTCTCAGCTGGCTCATCGTCCATCCTAAGACAGAACTCCATACATTCCTTTTGCTCTCTCACATAAGGGGCACCTCACCATCCTGGTTTGTCCTTCTTAAGGAGCCTGTATCCATCCATGGCAGCACACCAGTCACATGGGCTATCCCACACTGCCTCCATGATCCAAATGAGATCGTAGCCCTGCAACTACACACAGACTTCCAATTCCTCCTGTTTGTTCCCATGCTGCGTGTATTACTATACAGACGCTTTAGACAGGCACTCTCTCATGCGGACTTCCCAGAAAAGGTATGAGAGCTTCCCCCATAATGCTGTTCTGTAGGCACTTCCTTATATGCATACATATGCTTGGGGGTAAGCTTCTGCCCGTTTTCTTGTTTTCAAAGTCTTTCCTTGAAATCGCGTCATCCTGTGCCCTTTGCTTACCAAACCAGTCCACCACTTCTACACTTAATGTGGATCATCAACTCTTCCCCTGATGCCCAATCAATCACTCCTAGTTTAAAGCCCTCCTCAGCAGATTGGCCAGCATGTTGGAAAAGATGCTTTTGCCCTACTTGGTCAGGTGGATCCCATCTTTTCTCAGTAGTCCTGAGTCCTCAGAGAGGGTTCCATAGTCATAAAAGCTGAATCCCCTTTGTCAACACCAACTGCGCAAACAATTGTTGACCTGCAGGATCTTTTCACTCCTCCAATAGCCCTTCTTCCTCCCTGGGAAAACTGAGGGGAAAACCACCTGGGCCCCCAAGATGTAGATCACCACCCCAGACCAACGTAGTAGTCGTGTTTGAAATGCTCCAGGTCTCCCCTGGCAGTATTGTTGGTGCCCATGTGGAAGAGCAGCAGTGATTAATAGTTTGAAGCTTGTCTCTCCACAACATCCTGGATCCAAGTCCCTGGTGAGCAGCAAACCTCCCTAGACAGCAGCCCAGGTCAGCAGGTAGGGGCCTCCATCCCACACAGGAGGAAGTTTCCCTCTACTGTCAGTCACCTCCTCCTCATGGTGCTCCTGCGTAGCTCAGGCTCAGCTGGCATGGAGGATTCATTGGAGAAAGCTCCCAATCCCTTGTCTGCTACCAGGGTACTGACTCTGTTCTGTAGCTGTAGATCTGCTGCTACAGATCCTCTGAAGCGTGCTGTCCTCTGCCTGCTACCTGCTGTCCCTCCTGCAAGGCTTGGCCACGAGGACACATAGCCCCGACACTGCAGCAATCACGGCCTTCGCTGTGGCAGCACCTTCTATCTTCAGCCAATGGAAGGAAGGGAGGAAGGGAGGAAGGGAGGAAGGGAGGAAGGGAGGAAGGGAGGAAGGGAGGAAGGGAGGGCATCACTGCTGCTTCACTCCACAAAATGGCTGAAGCTATTCCTTCCTGTGACAGTTACTGCAACATTTCCCCGGCCCACAGACAAGGTCCTCCATGGCAGTGGCACCCACCTCACACAGCAGGGATCCCACCTCACACAGCAGGGATCTCCCCTCCCACTGGGGCCAGCCTCCCCTGGCCTCTGATTTGGGGCTGAAGAGCCCCAGCGTGAGGTAACAGGGGGTGGGGCCAGTCCCAGTGTGAGGTAACAGGGAGTGGCAGGGGTGTGGCAGGGAGGAGCACAGGGGCTGGCCCTATAGGGAGGTGCCTGTGCAGGGCTATGGGTGTGGACAGGTGGTGGTGTGGGTTCCTGCTGGTTGCTCTGGTGTTTCCCAGGATGGCTGGCTTGAGGGTGGACTTTGGCTTGCTCTTGGAGCCTCTGGGTTTCATTAAGGTCCTCGAGTGGGTGAGTGTGGCTGGGAGGTGCAGGGGGAAGCCTCATTTTCCTTGTGGGGCTGTTTCTTCTCTTTTCCTAGGCCTGGCTTTGCTCCTGTGTCTTAGCTGGGTAGGCCTGAAGAGGTGTGTGCTAATGGGTTGCCTGTTCCCTGCTTCAAGTTGCTGGTGGTGGATGTTCAACACAAGGCTGCTCTCCAGCCAAGCCCTCTGACTGGGAGGAAAGAAAACAGTTTTGCAGATACATAAAATATCTCTTAATTACAAGTTTGCCATAGTAACTTGTGCTGCTGTGTGTTGTGTGTTCTAATTATTGGGTGTTTAGGGTTTTGCTAGTGAACAAAGGGAAAATGAGCTACTTAGAGAGCTACTGATGCGCAATACTCTGAGCGTGTACCTTCTAGCTACTTTAATCTACAGTTGTGGATGTCTGAGACTCCTAAAAATACTTCCCTTACCAACTGCAAGAAGTACTGTGCTGGCTCTTAGCATTAAAAAAGGAAAAAAAAACCCCAACCTTTTGCTGTAGAGCTAAGAAAAATATAAACAAAAAGAACTTTTAAATGGGCTTTTGTTAGTGAAGCTCCTCATGTTTTTGGATTATAGAAACTCAACATTTTCATTACCTCTTGACATCACTTTATACTTTACTATTGCTAGTTTTGTTCCTATTTCTTGCCTTCATTAGCTGTTTCATCAAAATGTTGAGTTTTTCCTTTGAGCTCTAGTGGTATGTACTAATGTGTCTATGTATCAATTCCTACAGATTTTTTCCATCTTTGCTTTTGCCACATGTGGAGGCTTTCAAGGTGAAACTACCCTTCTAGTTTCCTGCAAAGGTGTGGTAAATGAAACAGTTACAGCTGGTTTTGCTTATCCATTCAGGTGAGTATTAGCTCTTAAGTTGTTATTCATACACTAATTATTTATTATTCACTCTTTTCCCCATCTGTCTCCCTGTGAATATGTACTTACTGTATATATCTGAATGAACATGTAAAACCTCTGGCTCGCTCTGTAGTAGCAATAAATTAGTTGTAATTGTTCAAAGCATCGTGGTTGTCAGTGCCCTATAGAAAGAAGTAGAAGAAAATGGCAATAGGTTGTATTGCTGCTTTGTATCACTTTACCTTAAGCTCTGTTCTAGCAGTGCATGAATGCTACAGAAGGTAATTAATAAGCAAAACAATACGATTAATTTTAACAGCCTATTTCTTCATCAATTTGTAGTTGCTTTGGAGGCCCGGGTAAGGTTATTTTGGATGTGCCATTATCATATTTTTGTTTAAAGACTGAATGGAAAATACTTACTTTTCAGTTTATTCCACTATTATATTGGTGAGAGTGTTGGGTACATATAAACTAAATACTCCATTGTCATTGTAGTGCTCTTGTAGAGACAAGTTCCTTTCCTGGGGCACGAGGAGGAAGGCTTTCTCTTTGTTGTCACAGCTTCACAGTTACAACAAATGTAGAGTCAGTGTTCCATATGTGTTCAATAAGCATAGGTGTAAGTGTAGAAATGGATTCAGAGGCCAGCTTGTTAAAAGTACTACAGAAGTATAGAATTTGGTTACAAAACCCAGCATTGTAACAGCACTTGGAGGGGAGAGTGGGAATCTGAAATGATTCTGTGCTGGTTACTGCTAGTCACACAGGTTTTATTGAATTTCCTGTGCTTGCATTTTCTTGTAGCTGTAATGCAACTAGGTGCCTTTTAAATCTTGATCCCTTCATTTAACTGCCGGTCTCCAAAATAATGTTAAGTCTGCTTCCAAATAGGAGTTTCTTTCTTTAGTTGCTCTAAGGATAAGATTCTTCTCCTGAAGTTGCTATTGCATATCTCAATGTAGGATGAGGAAAAATCTTCAGATATCTTGACAAATCTTTGTGTTGTATAACCGATACATTATACAAATATAAATTGTCTTTTAGAGTAAACTTACACAACCAGAAAGCTGAAGCACTTATTGTGAAGCATGACTGTATGAAGTTTCCACTGTATAGCAAACTTTAACTACATGAAGGATATAATCTTTGCAGGTTGAATACTGTTGTATTCAGTGCACCAGACCCAAAACGCTGTGGTGGTACTTGGACTGACGTCTATCTTGTGGGCAACTTCTCCTCCTCTGCACAGTTCTTTGTTACACTTGCAGTGTTGGTGTTCCTCTACTGCATTGCTGCCCTTGTGGTATACGTTGGATATAAGCATGTGTATCAGCAAAATAGCAAGTTTCCATTAACTGTAAGTAATACTAAGATATTTCAAAGTTTTTCCTTTGAAACCACGAAAGATGAGAAATACTGCTAACACAAGAATATCTGAATAACTTATGAATATTCAGTAGTTCCAAAAGTTAGATGGAGCATAAACACAAGTATCTCAGACTAGTCACTACAGCACTCAAGCAGAAAAGGGGATCCAAAGCCCTTGAACATCCATGGCATCATTCCTTATGCAGTTATTGAAGCAGAGTGGAATGAAGTTCCACCTTCTCAGGTGAGCAGTGTCTTCACCACAACTTTTCT